GGAGACACAGGCAGGGAATATGCAAATGGGAGTGGGACGTGGAAGAGGGAGGCAGAAAAGGGATTTAATGATCAGTGGGAGACGATGAAGGGAAGACAGGAAGGAACTTTAAAGAGGGAGAAGACGGGGAACATTTTTCCCCGATCGGCAGTAAAGCGTTTCATGGTCGGACACAAATTAGTGTCGAGGAAGTGAGAGGAAGTCAAAACGCTGCGTTGATGCCCAAACTGTGTGCACAACGCATGGATGCTGCATGTTATGTTAATGCTCACAACCTTTACACAGTGTGCAGTGACCTGCATGAGCGCACACACACACACACACACACACACACACACACACATACATATTCATGCTCATATTGTTTATTCTATACATTGTTCTCTTCTTAGGGATCAAGGTTGATATTTGCATTTTCCTTTGAATATTTATACTTATTAATAATTTTCCCTTCCTGTGTTTATCCTTCCTTTTCCTTTTTCTTCCTTTTACATTCACAGAAAACCCGATAACTGCCGGAGCCAGAGCAAGTTTGGCTAAAATTATGGCTAAAGCTAACATGGCTAAAGGTTGGCCAAAAATACAAAAGAGTTGGTCAAAACATTGGGCACGAGTTCTTCGTTTGTTTTAATTACAGCTAACTATCAGGTACAATTCCATTTAGTTTGTTTTAATTACAGCTAACGATAGAACGGTAGAATTCCAAGGAAGAAACGTTTTCAAAGAGAACAAAGAGTTAACAGTAAAAATTCTTCTTTCAGGATCGGTAAATTGATGACAACCTCCAGATTTAGATCAGAATAATCACTTCACTTCACTTGTCGACTTCACTAACTTTTATGACCAAAACAAATACTGAACACAAGGCTAGGAGCCACAAACTATCAAAAGTTTCTTTTGAAAAGCCTGATAACTAGACTTTAGCCTTCAGACCGATCTCCCCGAGGACGAGGAACATCATGAAATTTAAATCACTTCTCCTCCAGATTAAAATCAAGAGACGCCAGTTAAGTGTACAGACATTCTCAGAAGTGTGAAACTCAGAAGTTCTGACGGAATATTTACTGTAGAAGATAAAAGAAAAACATTCCTTCGTACAAACTCTGAGAAAGCAGCTGTGCCAGAGGAATTCTGACCAGAAAACTTTGCGGCAGGAGACGTGCCTAAAGATCGGGAGTCTATGTTGTAGACCTTTAAAGACCGATACTTTCTCTGCTTTTGCTGCACCCAGAGGCAGGACTGTGGAGCGGAAGTGGCTGTTGCCAGGCAGACTTTTCTTTCCTTCACAAACAGGAGCTGTTGCCAGGCAGACTTTTCTTTCCTGGTATCACAAACAGGGGTGAAGTGAAGCCCCGGTGGTCTGGGTGAGGAGCACACACACCTGCTCCTTGACCTTATAAAGAAAACCACCACAGCGACACACTCCACAGCAATTTAAAGCAGTTCGATGAGACAGTTTTACCGTCTGTCCTAAACAACCGCGGCGCTCCTGAGAGTCACCAACATGGGGTTGATTAAAAGGTTGATAGGAGGCGGAACAATGTCCTTGAGATTAACCCAGAAAAACGAGAGACAACTCTCTCCGGGTCGACCACAGTGCTGCCTGGAACCAGAACTACCGAGCGAGAAACTTAGTAGTGATATTTGGGAGCTCATGTGTCGTTTTGGAAGAATCAGAAATAATTTGCTCGCAGGTTGAAGATAAAAATCTATTTCCTTTTTTGTACTGAGAGTCGTACGATTCTTCTTGTGTAGCTAATCCTACTGTAGTCCTGAGTTAATCCGAAACTGAATAAAATCTATTGTTTTTTTTTATCAAATAAAAATCATCTCCAACTGTTAGCCACCCTCATCTGAAATCTCAAATTAAATTCCTCCACCGTTATCAACTCGCTCTCTTATCCTCGTAACCGTTGAAATAGTGACGATAACTGATTCCAATCGATAACAGTGGAGGAGCAAAGACACTGTATTGAATCACAAACATACATTTATGTATTCAACTTCCCTGCTAGTTAATAAAACTGTGAGACAGATACGATCTCCGCGGGTTCTGTTTCTATGCTGATGACTGTACGCTGTGACTTAAGTATTTATGTTGCTGTTATTACGGTATTTTCTCCAACACTGCAAAAAAACACTTTTTTCAATATCAACTGCTGACGTGTCGACGAACCAAATATATGTACTTTGGTACTTGGTAGGTACGCAGGTACTCAACAATATATCTTTGAACCTATGGAAATACCCACATTACCAAGTACCTACCAACTTACTACATATTAGAGGCAATGTATGTAGTATTAATGTAGGTTACATTGTGTAAAAACAAGGTGAGGTCATTTGTTATGACTCATATGTTATGAAAGTATCACTATTGGTATCGGACAAAATGCCAAAAAAGAAATCGACATTGTTTCAAATCCAAAAATCTGGTTTTGCCCATCATTTAAACCTACGTACCAAAGGAGTTTTTTTTTTCTTTACTACCAGCCTACCTTTGATTTTCAAGTATTTTTCAACTTACATACAATATACTTCTATAGTATTATTTTCCTGCAGATGTATCTATATTTGTATATGCTGCATCAATAAAAGTACACAGTACCATCGACATCTGTCACACCTACAACCGTCAACCTCACACCTGTACACACCACCATCCTACACACCGCACTAGCTAACTATCAACCTGTAGACCTACAGCATGTGCCAACCGACCTACACAACCTCCTACACACATATCCACAGTACTACAGTACCTTCTATGAGAAAATAAGTCCGGACAGAAAACAGCATCTTGGAGTTCCGAGGCTAGAAAGACTCACGAAGTCGGACAGTTGAACATCGCTATTAGGTTTGTGTCGTGAGCAGAGTAACCTGAATTATTCACGTTCAGCTGGTACTTCTCTAGAATATTCACATATCTATAAGAAATTTATGACTTCCAACTTCCTGGAATTAGCTTTGGGCAGGGTCGCCGAGAAAGACAAAAGGTCGGCAGATCAACGGACAGCCTTTGAAGTACAACTAGCCAGGACTCTATGAACCCATGTCTCATCTTTGACTTTGTCGTCCGGTTCATCACCAGTTCTAGCTCCTGTTCTCTCGTGTGCTCGTGTGCCGTGCTGGGTACTTACAGAGTATGGTGAGCAGGAGTGTCGCCAGCAGCAGCAGAAGGCTGGCGTGGTGGGAGTGGGCGGAGCTGCAGTGCATCTTGTTCTTCTTACACACGCACACGTGAACTTTGACCTCTGTGTTGTTGGACAAAGGGGGCACCCCTGAGTCGGTGATGACCAACGGGAGCTGGTAGTTGGCTTTCTTCAGACTGTGCAAAAGCATGATCTGGGAATGTGTTGCTACAGGAGACAGGAGAGGAAAACGGGGGACGGGGTCAGTGACGTGGACGGACAGTCAGGTCAACGGCTGTTGGACAAATGGACAATCACAATTTTTTTTTGTCCTAAGCAGAACATTCCTTACTCCGTCTCGAGCTGAAGGGAACGGTTGGATCACATTTAAATTTGGCACGAGCCCCCTCCTCACCACTCCCCGTTTCACTCCCCATTAAAAATACCATAATAGTCCGCTGCTCATTTTACCAGCTGCCAATACCAGCTGTCAGTGACATTCAGGTTTACCTTCAATTACAGACTGTAGTCACTTTATCTGTCAAAACAGAGCCAGAAGAATACGTTAGGAAAAAAACCAACAACAAATAAACAAAAAAAAAAAACAAGAAAGAAAAAAAACCTGTGAACTTTGATTAAATGCCACGGCTCTCGGAGCGTTAGCTCACAGCTGCTGTTTTGACATGAAATAAACACATTAGCTCAGGTTCTGTACTCGGCCCGGAACTTCATTAAAGCTGGAGCCTGAGTCACCGTCACTGTATGGTGGCGGTTGAAATCATCTTCACGTTCCAGCAGCAGTGCTGGAAACAGCGTTTCTCCAAAATCTCTGATGTAGTAATTGGGTTAAATGCAGCAGCGTGGTGTGAAATTTTTTTGGAAATGATCAATTTAGTGATTTTTTTATTAGTTTTATTATTTTAATCGTTCTGAGCTTCACCAACTGTAGTTGAGTAAATTCAAAAAATTCCACACAGAGTTATGGAGATGTCACTTAACGCAGGCCGTCGCTGTCTCTACACACACACACACACACACACACCCCACAGAAAGATTCACGAGCACACTGAAGGACTCAGCAGCGGTCCAGCTCAGTGGGAGCAGACGTTTCTCTGCTGGTCCCGTCGTCCTCCTCCAGTGGCGCTGACTGAGGAGTGTCTGTTCCTCCCTCTCCTGCTGTCTGTCACAGCTAACACCCCTGGGCAGGTTTAGGCTCGGCTCTGTCACTCAAACACACACGCAGACGTCGATGTCGGTCATGCAACCCCCGAATCAATGTCTTGGCTTGTCTGTGGGTCCGTGCTCCTCTGCCCCCCCCCTCCCCCAAACCTCACTCTCTATTCCAAGCATGTGATTTATATGTGCATTTGCGGTTGAGGCTGCTCTGCACTCAGCATACGCACATTCATATTAACTCAGCGTGTGACAGGAAATAATACTCACATTAGTTATAGCGTCTAACATGGAAAAACCCACCTCGGTGTTTTGACACTAACCGTCACTAACCCTCCATTTCCCTCAGCCATTTGCTTTCCTCTGTGTCAGTGTCATCAAACCTTATACGCTGATATTGTCCAAACACTTAATTTCCGATTCCGATGTCAACAGATACCGATACATGCAGCCGTTTGCCCTCAAAACTGAGGTAAACGTCTCAGAACCCAACGTGCGACTCCAGCAAATTTGACAAAATCCATGCTTTTGGATTTTCATTATCAGACGAAATCTTACCGATATTACATAATCATGCTAATATTTCACTATATATTAGTAAAAACACTCACAGTTGACCCTGGTGACCCTCCATGTTTTGTCTAGGCCAGGCTGTTTCCCCAGTTCGATCTTGAAGGGGGCGCCGTTAGGTGGTAAGTCCTTGTCCCGTCCCCCAACGATGGCGACGTTCATATCGTGGGCGTCTTCACACACACGCGCCACCGATGGCACCACGTAAGGGGCGTTGTCGTTGTAGTCCTCAAGGTAGATGACCAGTGACCCCGTGCCTGTGGCTGGAGGGTAGCCTGTAAAGAAGAACCACAGGAATCGTGTAAAAACGACAAAATATTTAAAAAGTACTGCAATAAAATCTGATTATACATCATACATTTATAAACACTTATATAGTACATATATTACACAGTATTTTATACCTGAGGGATGTGACATGTATTAAAGTGTGCAGTCAGAGTGACAGATGGGTTCAGGGTGTAAGCATTATTATTATTTGCTTAGTGGTTGTTCTTGTGTTTTGACGGTAATTGAAGCTTAACGAGGTCACAGGGAGGTCTGTCGGCCATGATAATATTTAAAAGACCATAATAGAGTTACCATAGCATAGCGGTTAGCACGTCTGTTGTTGACACAAGAATTTCCCCAAGTGTGGAATCAATAAAGTTCAAATTCCAAATGTTTCTGTGACAGGCGGTTTTCAAAGAATCATTAAAAACTCAACTAAATTAATAAACAATCTTTTGTTTCGTCTGTCACTTCAACAACGGGTCGACATAAATCACAGGGACTCATGTTCGGCAAAAGAGCGCGTGGACTTGGCAGGCGGCCGGCTCAGTGTTTGTGTGAGATTACGCCTTATTGAAGGCTAATGGGTTAAAAAGCAGCTTGGCTCCTTCTCCATCGGCCGACTGTTCTCTGTTTTACTGTGATTAGAGGTTATTAAAAAACCCACAACAGCTCCAAGGGTCAGTCGGCAATTAACACCTAAAGACAAGATCTGTAATTGGAAAATGGGTCTCCACCTTTTTTAAAAGGGAAGAAAAATTGCAATTTAAGGAAAGGGGAAACAAGTCAAGATAAACGGCGTTAGTAGTACATGTCAGGGGATGATGCAAAAAAAAAAAAAAAAAAAAAAAAAAGGGGGGAAATTCTGGAGGACCAAACTCATTTTAAGGTCAGAAGATGATAATTAAAAATAATAGGAAACATAATTTGATTCCAGTTTGAGGTGAATATAAAATTAAATTTTACCTGCATGTTTTTATTACGATGACCACTTGGGTCTTTCAGATCAAAGTCATTTACTTTTTTTAAATGTATTTTATGAAGAACAGAATGAATATAATATTTAAAAAAAAAAAAGTTAACCAAACATTAATCTTTGTGTATATTTGACACAAACAGAGGTTTATTACAGTATTTGACAAAAAAAAAGTTAACCAAACATTAATCTTTGTGCATATTTGACATAAAAAATTGGGGATAAAACCTGAATTTCTTTTGTTCTCCATCTTTTAAAACATGCAACACAAACAGAGGTTTATTACAAGACAATTGTGGAACGTCACTTTGCCGATGACACTGTGCTTTTAGTCTGTTAATGTAAAGGAGCTGAAATGGACTCTTAAAACTTTGGACAAAGCAAAATGCAGTGCAAGAAAAGAGATGAGAAAAGAGACTCCGACCTGGCTGTTTTCGTCAACACGCTCTCTCTCTCTGTTCCATTAGGCAAACAAGTTAATTAATCGAGTGTTTTTTGTATATTAATTAGTCTTCAGAGGAGAGAGTGGAGATTGTTATTACTGTTACTGTTACTGTTATTACTGAACATCCTGTCCTTCGGTTGATAAGTAAATATTAAAGTCCAATAATAAATCACAGATTTGGCAGTTTTGGCTACATTTGAGAGAACCTGTTCTGTCCATCTGCTGGTCAGGGGTGGAACTACAGTATCTGTTTGTTTCATCTTACCGATAAACAGCTCAGAACAGAAGATGTTCTAGGTTGTGTAAATTCTTTTATTTAGATCCATGGTACAGGTTGAGTCAAGTCACTGTGACACCCACACACTTTGTACAATTTCCAGCACACTCATGAAATACGCCCCCTGGCTGAAGGACAGAAATATGCACCTGAACATTTCTTTTAAAAAAATATTGCATAACTGTATTATCCACCAACAACCCTTTAAGCGGCAGAAACAAGGACGTGTTGCCCCGGCCACAACTCCACCTACCCACACCCCCCCTCACCCCCCTCAGCAGGGCAATTATACAAGTGGTAAACATTTGTATCTGTGTAGTACATGTAGGTGTACTGTATGTCAAGTGAAGTAGTAACCTGAGAGGCATGCGTAGGTGCTAATTCTCCAGGATAATGGCAGTAATCCAACATCATGTACTGTACACACACATACAGATAAGCCGCCCGCCCACACACACACACACACACACAGACTGACAGGCCACTTCGTTCTCTGTGCGATCCCGCCAACTCACATGGTCAGGGTCAACAGTAAAGAGAAAATTCTTCTTTCAAAATGAAAGCGATGGCAGCGGCGCCCCCTTCATCAGATTAGATGAAAACACCGACAGGAGTTCGGGGTTTAGGGTGAGAGCAACATTGTCAGGAGCAGCGTGAATTAAAAAAAAAAAAATATATATATATATTTATATATATATTTCTGTGAGTCACCGTTCATTGAAAAAGTGTCTGAAACCAAATGCATTAAAAAAAAAACACTCAGCAGAGAAATCAAACCTGCAAAGGCTGAGTTTTTTATCTTATTTTTTTTTTAAGATAATCATTTGTTTCCAATGCTGAGAACTTCACTTTTATTGCCGACATAAAAACAGAATGTGTCCGTGGGAGAGAGTGAAAGGGAATAAAAAGTATTTCTTGCAGATTCTGCACGTTGGCCGCTGAAACGACTGCCTTCTCTGCACTTCCTGGCTGTTTTATGTGCGTTCTACAGAACCTTCAAACAAATTCCCGGCTCCTGTTTACTGCAGAGGTACAGCTCTGACCTTTCAGCCACAGCATCAAGAGCACAAAAAAAATGAAGTGGTTTAAATGAGGACCAAACGACGTGTCTGTAACCGTCTGAGATCAGAGGAGAAACTACGTGGACTGGATCTGAACCGTCGTCTCTGGTCATGGAGCGGTTCGTCTTCCTAAACGGACACTTTTAACATCTAATCACTCCATTTGTCTACACCTCCTCCCCCTCCTCCTCCTCCTCCTCCTCCTCCTCCTTGTCTAGGGTGTATATGGCTCCAGCGTCATCATCTCGCTCCATCTCAGCCTCAGTGGACCTTGTCCTCTGAACTCTGCTTCACACCACTTTGTCTCCAAAGTTCTGATTCAACATCGGCGCCTTTTTCTCTAGTAGAGGTGGGAATTTATGGGTCGACATCCACCTCTGAGCTTGAGGCAGTAAAATAACAATAAAGATTGAAATAAAAAAAGGGTGTTAAAGGGGGAGACGGGGCACTAGGGGGCGAGGGTAGGGGGTATTTACAGATGGAAAATTTGTAGAGTAAATTTTGTGGATAAAATTGAATTTTGGAATTGTATTCTATTATATTGTAGCTCCGCGTTGATCTTTTAAGGATCATTAAATTTTCAAAATAAAATTCTGTTAGTGTCGGAGTCTGTTTGACATATTATTTTGAAACATTCTCAGATTGTCTTGATGAAATGAAAAAAAGAAATGATATAAAGTCAATCAGTAAAAATTAAATACATGTGTTGATACCAAGTGATCTACGGACCAGTACTGGTCTGCGGACCGGAGGTTAGGAACCCCATTGTATTGTAACACAAAAAACTTGATGGCCAAAAAAATTATACTGGCTGAAAAAACTTATCAAGTATAAAAAACAAACAAAACAAAAACAACGAATGACGATGCGAAAAGTAAATGTCAGCGGCACAGAAGCGGTGAGATTTATGGCTGAAGTTTAACAAGTTTATTAGCAGCGCCACCTTCTCCATAATTAATCTGTCCACTGTCTTTATTGGTCGATCTAACGTTGACCCACAGCTTCTCGCTGCAATGTAAAGATTAATGCCCGCGTGCTCCTGGTTAAACTGAGTAATTAAATCACCTTTTCGGGCGGTGACATTTTGCAGCTTGCTGACAGGTTACGATGACATAAAAACCCACTCGCTATCTTTGGCCGCAGCCTCTCTTCTCAGGCAAACTGCTGTGATTAATGTCTGGTTTAACTGGGTTTGACTAATGAATCAGAGAGTTCCAAACTTTCATGAGTGAATATTTAATTTTTGGATTTTTTTTTTCTATTCCACAGAAGAAAAACTCCAAAGCGAAATTTTCATCTGCACATGTGTGGATTGATCCTGATAAATTGGTTTCAGAGCCAGAATTACGCTAATTAATGAGTGAGATTAGGTTTAATTGTCTACATCAAAGTCCCACTCAGTGTTTAAAGGAGCTGTAATTGAGAGTGGGTTCGTTCAGACGACTCCTCGACACGGGAGGAAGGCAAACGTTCTTCACTGGAGCTGATGATTCTGAAGGCACAAACGGACCCTGACGTCAGAGCTTCTCTGTCTGAAGCTTCGGTTTTTATGTGATAAAAAAAATAAATAAAAACAATTGCCCCTCCTACAGATATGAAGACAAACCGGTCAGTGTTGTTCTGCCTGTTGATTATTACATCGGACTCAAACACCCACTGGGGATGAAAACTTTGTTATGACGTCGTAATTATTGTGCGTGTTCTCAGCTTTTTTATCACCCTCTGGAGGGAGGAAAAAAAAAACAAAACAAACCTCACCCCCTGCAGCGCGGTGTCCAATTTAAATGGCGGCCATTACACATGGTTTTGTTTTGGCACTCGCTGCTACAGAACTCATTTGGAAACAACCCTGCGGGGAGATCTCATCTTAACCACGGCACCACCTGCAGTTCACGAACGGTAGTTTAACATTAAGTGAGACACGTGTGCGACAACTGTTTTTGTTCTCGGGTTCTTGCAACCACTTTTCCCAAAGGGCTTTGGGACTTTTTAAAAGTTTGACCTGAACTGATCTGGGATAAACTAAAACAAACAAACAAACAAATAACCAACATTATCCAGTCTGGGGGTTTGATCAACATGTAGGTAACTGCAGAACTGGCCATATAGGCAGTCGCCTATGGTGCCCTCTGCTGGAGAGGCTGATGCTATCGTCCCAAATTTAAAATACATTTTTAAATAAAAAAAATCATTAAAAAAGTGATGTGACCCGGTAGTAAAACTGCAGCTACCCCAACTTGTTGAGT